ACAGGGAAAGGATGAGGCAGGGATGGAGGATATTTTCTCCCTATGAAATTTCATGGGGAATTTTACTCGCCCAATGGGGCCCCGTGAGGATCCCCGACTCTGTAAAAAAAAAAATTTAAATTTAATTTACTCTTCAAATTTAAACCCAAATCCAAACCAATTGAAATTAAACTTGTCCAATACTATTCAACCCAACTCAATCTAAGTTAACCAAACCCAACCTAATCCAATTTAACAAAACCCAACCTAATCCAATTTAACAAAACCCAACCCAACTCATTCCCCTAAATTTAACCCTAACCCTAATTCATTTCTCCATTCTAATCACTCTCACTCTCACCTTCTTATATCTCAATTTCTGCCTCTGGTTTGTTGCTCACATATTTGCTCTGCTGCTGCTCACGATTTGCTCTTCACGAACCCTTCTGCTCGTTGCTGCTCACGAATCTGCTCTGCTCTGCTATTGCTCACGAATTTGCCTGCTCTATTGTTGCTCACGAATCTGCTCTGTTCTACTACTGCTCACAAGTCCTTCTGCTCTTCACGAACCCTTCTGCTCTGCTGCTGCTCACTCTGTTGGCTGCTGTTGGTTGCTGCTCACAAACCCTTCTGCTGCTACCGAAAGCCATCTACTCCATAAAAGATAGATTAGAAGTTGATATTTGGCAGGGAATGGGAACGGGGGGAAAAATCTGCCCCCCCCGTCAAAAATCCTCATGAGGATCCCAATCCCCGCGATTGGGATGGGGAAGGGGTCCTCAGCCCCATGGGCCCCGTTGCCATCTCTATACCCACCTGAATGCCCACCCCTACCAAAATTTGTAATTTGTTCAGAAAAAAAATTTATGTATCGTGAGTGGGGCCCAAAAAATCAGCATTGAATTGTTGGTTTTGAGTTCGTCCTCCCCATCCCAAAAAATAGGGGTGCGTAAAAACCGATTTCGATTGAAATTGAAATCGATTTTGAATTAATCAAAAAAATTTTTTTTTTCAATTTTAAGAACCGAAATCGAACTAAATTTTTTCGAACTGATCTATTCGGTTACAAATAAAATCGGTTTCATTCGTAATCAACTAATTTCCGTCAATGCTCTTTTTCCTTTTTCAAATTTACCGTTTCAGATAAAACCTTGAGTATCCTCCACGTACTTTCTCTCTCCTCAGGTTCCATTTATCTCCATTGTTCTGTTACTCTAGATTTTTCCATTTCACTTCCACACTGCTTCACCTCAGAAAAGTTACACAATTTCATTTTAACATTCTCGATCGTGCTAGGACATGAATACCATCTAGTTTTAAAATTAATATCTAAACTTCAAACTAAATTAATTTATAGATATTCTTTATTTTGTTCTAAAGTTTTAAAATTTTTAAAAACTATAATAAAAAAAATTTTAAATCACAATTAAACTAAACAAAAACTTTGTCACTCTATACTTCTATTTTGTGCAATTCTTTTTTTAATGGTTTCATACTAAAGAATGAATTTCTATACAAAAGAATTTTAAATATCATCCTTTACAATTTAATGCTAAAAAAGGGATTATAAACTTGAGAAATATTATTCTCTTAATTAATCTTTCTCTACTTTTATTTCATGCTAATAACTTCTTAATTTTTGTATCACTTGCTTAATTCAGAATTATTTTAATCAAATAATTTCAAATCAATAATCAAAAGATGGAACCCGGTCATTGACTGGGTTAATCCAACTAGGGAAAATAAAAATGGTACCTTTGCACTCGAATTCATATTCAAAAGCTCCAAAAAGACAAAAACCTATCATAAGAACCTATATCTTTATTGAACCAAAAACAATTTGTTGATCCAGGTCTTAGGTTGGTGCAGAATAGAAGAGGGGAAGCAGGATAGGAAAGTATGGAAGTATAGTAGTTGTGGGGTGTATTCAACTTGGAGAGCCTATGCTCTGATGATCCCAAATCAAAGATTTTTGGATGCAGATCTATACAAATCAATATGGAGTAAATTGATTCCACCAAGAGGGTGAGCCTTTGTGCATGGAGAACGTTCTGGGGGAGGTTTCAAGTCCAACAAAGAGTAATTTGATGCAGCGTGGAATTCGGGTTGATGGTGGCAATCTCGATTGACGAGATGTGTGGGAGCCCGCAAGCCACAGCAACTGTGTTCACTTGCTTGGAAGCTTCGGAAGACATATTTCTTAATAGAAAATGATTTAGAAATAATTTTTTTTTATTTTTTATATAATTTTATGCTTTATTTAAGTAATTAATTTTTTAATTCATTTAGAATTTATAATATTGTGTACATTTAGTCATTTAATAATATAAAAAAATTATATAAAAATTATTCACTATCATTTTTGAATCAATTTTAGTGTTATGGATAAAAGACATGTTAAAGTGTTATGAGCTGAGGTGTTTTTCCCTTCGTAGGCTAAAGTAATAAATTTCTTTAGCTGATAAACGAAATTGAACCAAAAGCAAAAGGGAAGCAAAAACAAAAAGAAACCAAAAGCAGAAGGAAAGGCAATCTAATTTTTTCTTTTCTCTATATTAAAACATAATTTTCATCAAAGAAAAAAGAATATTGAAACATAATTAAGCTGCCAAATTAAGGTTAGAGATATATTAATTTGCATAATCATATGGACTTCATCAGTAAAATGACATAGTTTGAGAAGGTAAATTATGGGAAAAAAAAGGTCATTAAAACACGTAATGAAAGCACTAAAATATAGTTTTTAATCAATTTAAGAGAGAGAGAATTTTTAATCTTCTAAAACTTAAAAAACAAAGCATTAGAAAAGTTGCGATGCAAACAACCGCGTGTAGCGAAAATTTAATTACAACCTAATTATTTTAAAAAAATTACAGATTAATATAATATTAATTAAATTAAATAAAATTTTTGTGACCCAAACATAGCCGTTTAGACAACCATGAAATTTTATCATGCATGGTTAGATGTATACGTATACTTGCATGCAGCACATAATTTTATTTTCTTTTGTTTTTCCTAAATGCAAATAAGTCACACGAATTATATTATATTTTTTGAACAAGACATTTTGGAAAAGGAAGAATGGAATCTATGGGATTTAAAGACGACAATCCATAGAAAATTATCTTTACTGAATTAATAATTTTGGCCACTGGACCGAGACGTGAGGATTAGATTGCATTTTTTTTAGAATGGTGTAAGGATAGTAATATAACTAGCTCATAAACATAGTGAAGGTCCATGAAGCCCAAATACAAAAGAGCACATGCATGAGTCACTATGGAACTCATATACATTTAAATAGATCCAAAGGGACCAACAGAAGTGCAACACATGTCCAGCATTCTCAAAGGATTTATAAATACCCCTCGCACCCCTCAAAGGTATGGGACTTCTCCTTCAGTATTTCTCTCTAATACACTCCATTCTCTCTAAAGAGCTCTAAGTGTAGACTATTGCTGACTTAAGCATCGAAGTGTCTACCCGAGGGCCACCCTCGGGGCTTTGCAGGTTCATCCGAAGTGAAGACGCAGATTAAAGAAGAACTTCTAGTTTGGTGCAATTACATTGGTACCGTCTATGAGAAACTCGAATAAAAAGCTTAATTTCTATGTTGATCCGGTTGATCAGAGTGAGGAGAAGATGAGTGAAGTTCGCATGGCCTATTCACTTGAGTTGTAGAAGCAGATCTGATGAAATTACACTTAAGTTGTAGAAGTTTACACTTGAGTTCCAAAAGCAAATGTGATGAAAAGGGGTTTATTCGCCGAAGAGAAGCTTTCACAAGAAAACAAACAAGGGAGTAGCTTTGCACAACTATCGAGGCATAATACAATGTCAGTAATGAGTATTCAAGAAGTAAAAAGTGTCAGCAAAACACAAGCTTAAAGGTAGCTCAGTGGGGTCCACAAAAAGAGAAAAAAAAAATCTCACAAGTGTGGCACCCTCAATGAGAAGATGAGCTCGAGCTTGATGGTAGAAGCAAACAGCCTAGCTCAATAGCAGCAGTGGCCCAACTCGGCAGCAACAAAGCAGTCCAGCTTGGCAGTGGCAAAGCTCAAAGCAGTGCTCCAGCTCGGCAGAAGCAAGGCAGTCCAGCTCAAACACGAGCTGCCGAGGTCAAGCACAAAGTGCAAGGGTCGAGCGTGAAGCACAGAACTTGAGCATGAGCTGCAGAGCTCAAACATGATCTACCGAGGTTAACCACGATGTCACGGGGGGAGACTAGCTCCGATGGCACTTGTCTCGGAGGCGGAATCTAGCTCGACCTCGTGCGGCACTTAGCTCGGAATTACCCTCGTAAACTCGAACCAAGTCAGCCTTCCCCAACACTTGGCGTGGCCCTCGTACTGGGCTCGAGGTTAGCAACACGTAAATGAAGATAGGAAGTTGGGAGAGGAAGAGAATTTATTTAAGATCACAAGGGAGTGTATAAGAGCATGAGTACAAAGCCCCTCTCTGCACTCACTCACCTAGTAGCTCACTCATTCTCTCTCCTAGCCTAGCCTAGAATAATCTAGAAAAACCCCATTCTAGAATTATCTACAAGGCCCTAGGAGAAACCCCAGGTCGGGCTTGACCCAACAAGCCCATCCAGACCCTTGTATGGTACTGTTCACGCGCGCCAGCAGCTTCTAGAATTTTCTGGGTCGCTCCTGTGCGCTCTAGCATGGCTCGACCGCACGCACGACACGCTCTGTGGACACTCCTGGCCGCTCCCGTGCGCGCCAGCGCCTCGAGCCTGTCCGCCCCCATGCATGCCAGCATCTTGACCTAGGTTGCCCGTGTGTGCACCCATGTCTTGAGCCTGGACACTCTCGCGCGCACACGCACTCGCCCTCGACTGCTTACGCAAACTCCCGCGTGTCCTGTCCACAACTTCACGCCAAGGCCCCGGTATCGACGCCTCCGCTGACAAGGCCCACTGCGTCTCGAGCGATCCACCTTGTGCCTGAGCCCTCGAATGCGTACGTGTCGTAGTCGCAACCTCGTGTCGCGACACTAACACCCGCTCCCGCATGCCCGCGTCGACGCTTCCGCTTGCGCCTGTGCTCGCGCCTGCCCTTGTATCCGCACTCGCACTCTGCGACGTTGTATGGCATGTCCCCTAGACGCTGGACACACCTCTTGTGTGCCTGTGGCTGCAGCTCCGTGCCACGATGCCCTCGACTTTGGTCCCCGAACTCGCGTGCCGTGACAACGAGCTGTAGAGCTCACACACTTGCTGCCGAGGTCGAGCACAAAGTGCAGAACTTGAGCATGAGCTGCAGAGTTCAAACACTTACAGCCGAGGTCAGCCACGAGCTTTAGAGGTCGAGCACGAAGTGCAGAGCTCAAACATGAGCTGCGAGGTCAACCAGGAGCTGCAGAGCTCAAACACTTGCTGCCGAGGTCAAGAACAAAGTGCAGAAATCAAACACGAGTTGCCGAAGTCAGCCACGAGCTTCAGAGGTCGAGCACAAAGTGCAGAGTTCAAACATGAGTTGCTGAGGTCAACCACAAGCTGCAGAGCTCACACTTGCTGCCGAGGTCGAGCACAAAGTGCAGAAATCAAACACGAGCTGCCGAGGTCAGCCACAAGCTTCAGAGGTCGAGCACGAAGTGCAGAGTTGAAACATGAGCTGCTGAGGTCAACCACAAGCTGCAGAGCTCACACTTGTTGCCAAGGTCGAGCACAAAGTGCAGAAATCAAACACAAGCTGCAGAGCACAAACACGAGCTGCTGAGGTCAACCATGAGCTACAAAGGTCGAGCACAAAGTGCAGGGTCGAGCACAAAGTGCAGGGTCGAGCACGAAGTGCAGAGCTCAAACATGAGCTACCAAGGTCAACCACGAGCTGCAGAGCTCAAACACTTGTTGCCAAGGTCGAGCACGAAGTGCAGAACTTGAGCACGAGCTGTAGAGCTCAAACACTCACTGCCGAGGTCAGTCACAAGCTGCAGAGGCCGAGCACGAAGTGCAGAACTTGAACACGAGGTGTAGAGGTCGAGCATGAGCTGAAAGATGTGCAGCACGAGCTGCAAGGTGTCAACACCCTCAACAAGGTACCGACACTTTTCCTGCATCTATCCTGAAGAGTCCGTGTCGGGTTTTTGTCCTTCTCTGCAAATTCTGTTAATGGTAAAATTATAATCCCGACCCCTTACTTTTGAATTCTGCACAATTTAATCCTCAAATTTCATATCTTTTGCAATTTACTCCTAAGGATTGTTACTTTTTTCAATTAAGTCCTCTCTAGCACAAAATGAAAATTATGCAAAATTAAGTAAATTTTCATAAAATTCATCCAAATGTCAATAATATTAAGGCATAAATTTTACATTAATATGTATATAAATTTAGTTCATCAGCCATGTATTGTTTTGAAAATTAAAAAAGATGAACTAGTAATCTTTTTCTTTTATTTATTTTATATAATATAATTTCTTGATTATAAAACTGGATGCCTTTGATTTTTCCTTTTTTCAAGTCCTTGTGATATAGGTTGTCAAGAAAGCAATTGAGCTCCGTAGCAAATTAGAGCTTTGGTCCAAGCTTCGTCCAATCTCATATTACAATTTATTGTTAATTGCTTTTCGCAGTCTTTGCATTCATTCCACATTTTTCCATTCATTCTGCACTTGTTATTACATTCATGATATCATTTTGCCATCTCATTTTTTATATATCATAATCATGCTACTTTGTTCATTTGCACTTATGATTATAAATATATGTTGCTATTTTAGAGATGGAAAAGTGCAGGGACTCCATGTGAGGTGGGTTCTAGAGAAATCCCTTTATGGTGAGCTCCTCCTGTACAAGCTATGAACAACTCCTCCATCAAAAATTTTAAAAGGTCATGGGCCTAAACCATAAAGCTCAACAACTTACAAAGATGATCAAGTAAATTTCTTCTTTGGCATCATTTATGAGAGGTTAGATTTTTTCTCCACATTTGCTCCTGAGTCAAGGCAAGGAGGAGTTAACATTGTTCATAAGAAGCTAAATTCTTTCTCGACTTTGTATCTCATCGAGCACAATTCTTCCCAAGTATAAATTAATTATGCTCTGCAAGTCAAGTAAGTGTTACATATTAGAAATTTCAAAATTTCTTTGCACATTCAAGATTTTTATTGAGTCATTTCGCATGTCCAATTTTTGTTATTATATTTACAAGCTAGAAAAACTTTTTATTACAACATGCATGACTGCTTGTTTATTGGACATGTTAAAGCATAAAAAATGCAAATAAGGTAATTTACAATTACAACGTTTATGTTTACAGACCCCAAATGTGCGGGTTGAGGGGGGGAGAAGAGTCATATATTATGACTTCTAATAGGAACCTATGATTAAAAAGTGCAGCTTCATAATTTATTCAAGTTACAGTTATTAACTGTGATACTAAGCTAAAAATATATATATATATATATATCTATATCCTTCTCATATAATATGGTTAGCCTTGAACTTTAACAATAAGAACTTCATGTGCTGACTTAAGAACTTAAACAAGTTCATAAACTTGGTTGAGTTCATCCTCATGATAGTCCATTCTGAGGTGAACTCCCTTGGATGATGTAAACTTCGGATGAACTCAACTACTTGAGCTAATCCTCATGTTAGCCCATCCTAAGGTGAACTACCTTGGATGAGGTAAACAACCTTGGATGGGCTCAATTGCTTGAGCTCATCCTCATGATAATCCATTCTGAGGTGAACTCCCTTGGATGATGTAAGCAACCTCGAATGAACTCAACTACTTGAGCTCATCCTCATGACAACCCATTCTGAGGTGAACTCCCTTGAATGGTGTAAGCAACCTCAGATGAACTCAACTGCTTGAGCTCATCCTCATGACAACCCATTCCGAAGTGAACTCCCTTGGATGGTGTAAGCAACCTCGGATGAACTCAACTGCTTGAGCTCATCCTCATGATAGCCCATTTGGATGAGGTAAACAACCTTAGATGAAGTCAACTGCTTGAGCTTATCCTCATGCTAGCCCGTTCGAGGCGAACTACCTTGGATGAGGTAAACAACTTTAGATGAACTCAACTGCTTGAGCTCATCCTTATGACAGCTGAGCTCAGGTCTAGCTTGCAACCAGCTTGCCATTTCACCAGCTATCTTGTGTTCCACCTCTCATGGGCCATCATCAATAAGATATGCTGAGCCCCTATTTATTAAATATATTGAATATAATATATTCTTCATGTTTCAACTAAAAGTGAGTGGCTTAAATGACATTTATTTATATTAATACATTTGTGGAGCCTCATGCAAATAGTGGAATAATCCACAAGCTAATGGTATCCACGAGCTGGTGGTCTTTATTATTGGTTCTAACTTAAAGAGATAAATCTCTCTTTGAGAGGGGGAGTAGGAATACATAAGCAACAAAAATAAACTTACATAAGCAACACAAATAAACTTTCATATTTTACTTGGCATGTGCTTAACTTGCTGCTTGAATATTTCAACTTGAATATATTTTGAAACTCATATTTTAGCATTGTTTATTTTGATAACTCATGTCACAAACATTTATATTTAATTCCAAATTATTGTGCCACTTTAATGTTGATGTATCTCATGTATTATTGACTATTCATAACTAATGGCATCTTGTCAAGTTCTATGTTTAGAATGAATTTTTACAGGTCTCAAGAGTTTGTTAACTCCTTGGCTTGGAAGACTCGGAAATCTGTTATCAACTTTTGAACCCATTGGTTCATCAGAAAATATTATTGGCCTTTGAACCTGTTAGCTATTGGCTTTTTAGCCCATTCGATCTACAAGAGTTTTTGCCCATCAATTATTAGCTTCTCAGCTCATTTGTTCTATGAAAGCCCAATTCAGTCTTAGCTCTGCAGAGCACAACCCTCAAAGGGTTTGATTTTTATGCTATGACTCGAGAGACCAAGATTTTCTTATGGATATCTCAAGATGGGAATCTGTGATAGGCATCTCCAGCTACCAAAATTGGCATTCAATCAACTCTACAAAAACTAGTTCTGATCCTCACTCTATAAAGCGTGACCCTCAGAGGTCTGGCTTCCATTATTATGGCCCATGAGGTCACAAGTCGTCACTTCCGAGTGGTCATTTTCAGGTCGTCATTCTCGGCTCTGGCCACAATGACTCCATGTCATGCATTTTTACTTAGGCTACGGCCCTAACACATGACTCCGTGTCATGCATTTTTACCTCGGTTACAGCCCAAAACACATGACCCCGTGTCATGCATTTTTACTTAGGCTACGGCCCTAACACATGACTCCGTGTCATGCATTTTTACCTTGGCTACGGCCCAAAAACACATGACCCCGTGTCATGCATTTTTATTTAGGCTACGGCCCTAACACATGACTCCGTATCATGCATTTTTACCTCGGCTACGGCCCAAAACACATGACCCGTGTCATGCATTTTTACTTAGGCTACAGCCCTAACACATGACTCCGTGTCATGCATTTTTACCTCGGCTACGGCCCAAAACACATGACCCTGTGTTATGCATTTTTATTTAGGCTACGGCTCTAACACATGACTCCGTGTCATGCATTTTTACCTCGGTTACGGCCCAAAACACATGGCCCCGTGTCATGCATTTTTACTTAGGCTACGGCCCAAAACACATGACTCCGTGTCATGCATTTTTACTTAGGCTACGGCCCAAAACACATGACTCCGTGTCATGCATTTTTACTTAGGCTACGGCCCTAACACATGACTCCGTGTCATGCATTTTTACCTCGGCTATGGCCCAAAACACATGACCCCGTGTCATGCATTTTTACTTAGCTATGGCCCTAACACATGATTCCGTGTCATACATTTTTACCTCGGCTACAGCTTAAAACACGACTTCATGTCATTCATTTTTATATTTACTACCCCCATCTACACTCATCTTCCACACTAATCATTCACAAGTGAATGACTTCGGGAGGGGGAATAGTGTAAGGATAGTAATATAACTAGCCCATAAACATAGTGAAGGCCCATGAAGCCCAAATACAAAAGAGCACATGCATGAGTCACTATGGAACTCATAAACACTCAAATAGATCCAAAGGGACCAACAGAAGTGCAACACATGTCCAGCATTCTCAAAGGATTTATAAATATCCCCACACCCCTCAAAGGTACAGGACTTCTCCTTTAGTATTTCTCTCTAATACACTCCATTCTCTCTAAAGAGTTCTAAGTGTAGACTATTGCTGACTTAAGCATCGGAGTGTTTACCCGAGGGCCACCCTCGGGGCTTTGCAGGTTTATTAGATGAGAAGATTTGAGCAAGGAAGGCCTTGAAGGTTTTTTGCAATAACAAATGGAAATAAGTCACATGGTGGCATTGTACTTTTACACTCGAGATTAAGGGTTGGTTTGGGATTGCTGTGAAATATTACATTTGTACATGTGGTCGTAGTTGTGTTGAATTGTGTTATACTGTTCTTAAAAATATTAAGAATAAAATATAATAGATTTTATTAATTATTAATTAAAATTTTAAAAATATTATAAGATATATAATTATTAAAATTGATAATATTTACTACTTCTTAATAATTTAAACTTTTTAGATTTGTTATAATAATAATAATAATTATTATTTTTTATTAACCTCTCAGTATCCGATAATCATATTGGGTTCTAATTAATTCAGATTCGAGCCGTGTTGGATCCCATTAAGGAGAAGCTCTCTTAACGCCTGTTTCTTCATTTATAAGACTCGAACTCGAGACCTTAGTTAAGGAAAACCGAGCTCCTTCTACTCGAACCAATAGGTCGTTGGTTTTGTTATAATTATTAAAATATTATATCATAATTTATAATATTGTTATAATTATTAAAATATTATAAATTATGATATAATTAAAT